GCTAATACCCACTGCTGCCCTTCTAGGTCTGCTCTTCTAGGTCTCCTAAAAATTGTCTTCTCTTCCTTTTTTCATTGATTCCATTTCTGCTAAATAATGGCAGTCCTACAACCAACTCCTCAGTTGCTCCCTGTGAAGATGATCTAAACCAGTTGGATTTCAACTATAATGAACTTGAAATTCTTTTGAGATAATCAAGACAGTACGTTGACTAGGCAGGTGGATATACCAACTTGACATTCCAGAATAGCTCTGCAGGGTCCAGGTGAGGATGTTACCCAGTGAGAGGCTGGCGATTGTGGTCAACCAGTGTCATATGCCCTGCCCTGTTCAAAGGAGATAGCTACCAGCAGCTCAGGGATTTTTGCTACATGGCAACAATGATCTATTGATAGTGATACAATTTCTGAGGGTGTGCTGAAAAGAAACTGTGATTTTATGTGGAATCTCCAGGTTGACTGTTGACAACTAAATATTTTTATTTTTGGAACTGTATATAGTATAGATAAAATAATCTCTGCACTGAATTTTTTTATGGCTTCCAGTTTGTGACCCCTGGTCAAAACTCTCTATTCTGGTCCTCTAGGTTTTTAGAGTCTGTCTCTTTTTTGTCTTTCAAATGTCAGTTTTGTTTTGTTTTAATTTGCCAGCAGACCCATGCACTTGCAGAGAGAGACAGAGAGAAAGGGAGAGAAAGTGAGAAAACACCTTCTATGGGGAATGGTCACACCAAAACCCCTTCTTCATTTCTCCTTCCCTTCCAGATCTCAGGAACTCAAGCACATGCACCTGACATGTGCCTAAAGCTGGCAGGTCTGGGACTCACACTCCAATTGGTCAAGTGGGAATCTTCCATCTTAACCACCAGGCCATGAGTTGGCCCTCAATGCTAGTATTTGCTGCTGGTTCTAGCCTTCTGTATTTGGGGTAAACTTGACTCACCCTTGTCTCAGACTTCGCAGGACATTCTCCTGGCCTCTCCCTGGCATTACAACCCATGGAATATGTCCTCTTGTCTTCTGGATATCCAGTAAGGCCCAGCTTGGGTCCTTGCTGCAAATATCTCTTTCTAGCTATTCTGGCCTGTACTCACCACATGGACATTTAGCCACACACGTGTCATCCTTCAGTGTTGACTTCCAGTATGTGTTCTTATCTTTAGGGCAAAACTGAACATGGGGATCTATCTTGAGGCATCTTAGGTTCTCAGGCATGGGTAGAATCATATAGGATATTCAGTCCCTTTATCAGCATTGCTTCTCTTACATGCCTCCGGTGACAAGCTCACTTTCTCTTGTGGCACCTATGTTACCATTAGACAGCTCTGAACTTAGAAAGAGTTTGTTTGTTTGTTTGTTTGTTTAAGTGAGCTGAAATTTACTTGACTCCCCCTTCTCGACAGAGACTTTGTCTTCCGTGTGTATTGCCTTGAATTCCTTTGGTCTTTGTACAGTTGTTTTCTGAATAAGGAGAACTCTAGTCAATCAAATGGAGCGAGCCTTCTTTCTTTCCTTCCTCCCTTTCTCCCTCTTTTTTTATTCTGAGTAAATAAAGGAGAAAGGCAGACAGACAGAGCTGCAGCATCTCCATGCCATGATCCCTCTCCCAGCCCTTACCAGCCCCAGATCATGTGCACATGTGCTCTCAGAGTACTTAAGGAGGTCTCTGGTCATGAACCCACAGCATTCCCACATGGGTCAGCCTTGCAGAGTGTGACATTTTCGTGCTGCATCCCTGGCCTCAGGAGCTTGTGTAATGTGGCCATTTAAATTTTAACAGGGTTTTGATATAAAACACTTTCAATATAATCTGCCACCTTAACCTTCAGGCCACGAGCTGGCTCCAAATGCCAGTGTTTACTGGCTAGTATTTACTTGAAAAGACTTCAAAATGGTCATGGAAAAAAAAAGGTATAATGAAAACATGCATGGATTTCAAAATTTCTCAGCAGTAAAATAAACTTGTACATTGATTCTTCCTTTCCAGAGATTTTGAAGTCTTTTCATAGACTGTAATAGTAATCTGTGCTTACCAATTTCTTTTTAAAATATTTTACTTATTATTATAATTTGTTATAGGATAGTATGTGCTCAGAGAGAGAGAGAGAGAGATTTAAAGTAAGAAAGCAAGCCACCACGGTTGGCCATGTGGAAGTCTAGTGCCTTAACTACCATGCTATCTCCTGACCCAATCACGATATTTTCTTTTTCTTAAATAAATTTATATATTTACTTTCATTCACTGTACATCATTATAGTATACAAAATGAGATTTTTCCATCCAGAATACACTGTATATTGGCTCAAAGACATTACCATATGTGTTATCATCAACAAATACTTTTCCATTTCTTGTTTCTTATATATTTTGCTTATTTTGTTAAAATATTTTCCCCCTTTGATTCTCTACCTCTCACCCTCCTCCACATTGTCTCTGTTATCTACACTTGTTTTTGATGTCTTCTTTCCCCCACATTTTTAAAATTCACTAAATATCTTAATTAATCTAAAATATTTCAATGACAACCACAGCTGATATACACATATCTATGAATACATATCTGACTTTAGGCGTAAACCTCAGTAAAGTAAACATACTATAAAGTAGCATCTAGCTGGGACTATATAGCTTACTATAATCATTAAATAGGTATTTCTCATGCATTTTTTAATTTCAAGAAAAAACAGTTTTAGTTTTAATAGATCAAAATAAAACAAATGTTAAGAGAATTTTGCTTAAGACTTAAAGCCAGGAAAATGGTTAGGATTTAGTTTAAATAGTAGGTAGGTGAAACTATTAATTTAAAGAGAAGACAAAAATCTTTAAATCTGGAAAACAAAGCATCAGAAAAAAAATCAGTAATATTTTAGTTTAAAGTAAAATAAAAATTCTGTTTCACTTCAGATTTATGTAATTAATCTCTCTTCCATTGAATTTGCAGTAGTACTGTGGTCTGATCTTTCCATTTAAAATTTGGAAGTTAACATTGAACTCCGAACTTTTCCCTACCATTAGGCTGGGCATTGTCTTGGTTGTTTCTTGTACTCTTCTGTGTATCTGACTCCAGTTTTCCTGTTAGCACTCCCTTCAGCACTTCTTGGAGGGCTGTTCTAGTGTTGGTAAATTCTTTCAGGTTTTATTTATCTGAGAATGTTTTTGTCTTTTTTTTTTTTTTCCCCCATGTGAAGCATAATCTTACAGGGTATAGTATTCTTGGTTGAATTTGTTTTTCACTTAACACTATGAATATATTTTCCCATTCTTTCCTTGCTTGCATTGTTTTCAGTGAGAGGTCTGATGTTAACCTGATAAGATAATATTTGAAAGTAACTTGACTTTTCTCTCTTGCCAATTTTAATTTTAATATCTTGTAGTTTTGGTTAATCTGGCTATGATGTGCCTTGGAGATCTTCTTGGGTTGATTTTATGTGGAGTCCTTTGCATTTCTTAGGTCTGGATATTTGAGTACCTCTCTAATTCTGGAAAGTTTTCTTCTAGGATTTCATGGAATAGTATATCAATGCCCTTTTAGTTTCCTCACCTTCTGGGATACTGATTATCTGGATGCTTGGGCATTTAATGGTATCTAGTATTACTCATCTAGTATTCTCATTTTGGGGAATTATTTTCTCAGTCTTTTTGGTGAATTTTTCTAGGTCTGAGGTTCTGTCTTCTGCATCCAATATTCAATCTTCTGCATGATCTCATCTGCTTTTTAAACTTTCAGGGGAAGTTTTGATTTCCTGTATTGCAGCCTTCATCTCTAACAATTCTATTTGATTCTTTTTTATGTTTTCTCTCTTAGATTGTGCAAGAAGTTCCTCACTTCCTGGAACTAGTTGTCTCTTTTCTCGTGCGTCTTCTGGAGTTTGTTGTCTCTCTTCTCTTGCCTCTCTGTTAGCTTTGTCACTATGAATATTTTAAATTTTCTTTTTTTTCTTTAGAGATTTCTGCTATAGGGTGCTTGCACTGGCCAGAAAGACAGAGAGAGACAGAGAGACAGAAAGTGAGAAATCACCCCTCAGGGGGGATGGCCATGCCACAGTCCCTTTTCCTCCATTCTCTTCTCGGGATCTTGGGCAAGCATGCACACACACCTGGCGTGAGTTGAAGCCGCTAGGTCCGGGACTCAAACCACGGTCGACTACATGGGAGTTCAGCGACATAACCATTACGCTAACTGCTGGTCCCCAGAATATTTTAAATTCTTTATCTGATATTTTCACAAGATCCCTTGTATTGGCTGTGGAAGATGAGGAGTTATTCTTTTTCCTTAGGGGAGAGGTATTTACTTGGTTTCTCATATTTCTTGTGCCTCTGCAGTGGTTTCTGGTCATCTGATAGATTATGTTTTTTCTCTAGTTTTTGGAGTTAAATCTGAGCATTCAGAGGCATATAGGAGGAGGTGACCGGCAATCTTTAAGTAGTACCATTTTTCTCTCTTTGTGTAGCAAATTCAGTGGAAATTGAGGATTAATCTGAGCCTGGCTAGATCGGGGGTGGGGTGGGGAGGAAGGGATCAGGAGGGTGAAATCTGGGCAGAAAATCTTCAGTTGTCCTAATCCACCATGTTTTCTTAGGAAAGCATTTTTCTATGAGATTTCAATTTTTCCACTTTTATTGGCATTAATAAAAATTTCCCAAATTTGTGACCATATGCTTTGCTTGATGTTACACAATCTCTTTAGAGAACTATTTTTTTCTTTCAAACAATCAGAAGTCTAATTGTATATTAAGTTTTAAATCTCACGGTATGTTGTAATACTCACCTGCTTCACTTCTGCCTAGAGTATCATGAGCATTGTGTCATGCAGCTGTGAGAATATAAGTACCTGCAGATTTAAATTTGGGTCCTGTAAACAGACTTTTGAGACAAAGCTTTCCTTTATTATTCTGTCATGCATTGGAAATTATAGTGCAGCTGTAGAATCCCATGTTATGATGTTGCCAGTTATGACCTATTGGTTATTGTAAGCTCGTTACTGTTTTTGTGTTTTCAGGAGCTGTGATACTTTTGGGAAGGACCAATATGTTTCGCTTTAACCACCCAAAGGAAGCTGCCAAGCTCAGAGAGAAGAGGAAGGTAAGGGGTATGACATCTCTAAAAGAGTCCTCTGATTTAGGGGTAGGGGGTAGGGTGGTATCTACTCTGGTTCTAACAGTTAGACTTACAGGAGTACAAAACTACCCAAAAAGTAGTTCTGTTACCTGAATCAATTCTAGGGAGTTTACTTCCCAGCAGATGTTAAACTAAGGAAGTAGGAGGGCAAGAGAGTGAAGTCTGTAGTAGATAATGAGACATTGTTCCTTCTAGGCCTTTCCCTTCAATCTTCTACTCTTCCCCTTAGTGAATCAGACATCATTTTTAAATTGAGTTGAGAGTGACTTTTACTTGTCAGCACCTATTGGGTCTTCAGGAAAGTCATGCTACATTTTTGCATAGAAAAATATGTCATAGGACCAGCAGTTAGCATAATGGCTATGTCGCTGGACTCCCATGTAGTCAGCCGCGGTTCGCGTCCCGGACCCGGTGGCTTAAAACTCACTCTGGGCACGTATGCATGCATGCCCAAGATCCCGAGAGGAGAATGGAGGAGAAGGGATTGCGGCGTGGCCATCCCCCCTGGGGGGTGATTTCTCGCTTTCTGTCTCTCTGTCTCTGTCTGTCTGGCAAGCGCACACGCCCTATAGCAAAAATCTCTCAAAAAAAAAAGAAAATGAGTCATGACTTTCTCGATGACCTCCTATTTTAGGAGTTAGTATTGATTTCATCCGAAAGTCCACTCAGTTTTTTCAGCCACAATGAAGTAGATTTTTGATTGAGACTTAAAACAGAGCAGGGATGAGTTCTGGACAGTTGGGAGACTTCAGCTTGATTGGATGGGGTACATCTACAGGGTACTGTATGTGTTGAATGGAGGAAGCAGGCTGAGGACCAGAGAAAGAAGGAAAGGAATAAGAGGGAAAGAACTCTAGGGACATTGTGCTAGGCCCTTGGACTGATGACAGTAAATACTACAGCTAACACTTCTGAGAGCCAGGAACTGTCCACATTGCTAAACTTTACATTTTTTTGTGCCCCTTTTGTCTCTGCAGAAACTGCTTGTATATTCATGTTGCAGTTGACGGGAATGAGACACAGGCTACAATAGACCTCCCTAACTTAGTCTGTGGTCAGAACTGACCTGCAGACCGGGAGCCTGTAGTCTCACCACTGAGTTACACAACCCCTCAGCACAGCCTATATTTTTAAAGACTGCTTGAGATTGCAGTGCCTTAGATGGAAAATAACCCCAAAGCTGCAAGCCCAGCCTTCTCCAGGGAGGCTCTTTCCAGCTTGTGAAGCCTCTTATCTGTACCAGCCCAGGGTCTCTCTAGAGGGTCCATTTTGGTCCACAGTTTCAGAGGAACAGAGGGAAGAAACTTGTTTGCCAGTAGCTTTCCATGGAAACAGATAGATCCAGTGCTTCCTTCTTTGGTTTCCCTTCACCTCTTTTTCTTTATCACTGGGCAGTGCATGGGAGTGATGCTGAGAACAGGAGATTGCTGCCTGCCAGGGATGAGGAGGGTGACAAAGACGTCATGACCCTCACGGTTGACTTGAATGCAGCCTGGCTTGGGAGACCTCCCGGGCCATGGGCTTCCTGGGGAATTTCCGGGTCCTGAAATGTGCCAGGGTGTACTGCAATCTTTGTACTCTTGCCCCAAAGGCCGCTCACCAAGATGAGTGGTTTTGTGTATTAATTGGGCTGTGCACCTTTGTCATTCACAAGTTGAAAGCAGTGTGTCCAGAGCCATGGCCTCCTCTCCTCTGCTAAGGTAACCGCTCTGCCCTGTGTCTGCTCTTAGAGTGGCCTTCTGTCCTCCTTCAGCTTGTCCATGACCGACCTCTCCAAGTCCTGCGAGAACCTGTCTGCCGTCATGTTGTATAACCCGGGGTGAGTGAACAGCAGCAGCTCCTTCCCTGCGGTTACCACCATTGTGATCTTTACGGTGCCAACTCCATTAGAGTCACTGAATAGAAATAAAATTTCTGCAACCATGGCTCCTTATCAACCCAGCTGGAGTCATCTTCCAAGTGCCTTCCCAGTCCTTGCTATCTATATGTCCATAATTTTACTTAGTTATAATTACAACATAAATGGCATTGTGCTTTGAGTTTTTGCCTAACAGCATAAGCATTAGTAAGGTTTGTTAGAAGCTGCATTGTCATTGACCTAACCATCTAATATTTTAGAGTTGGCATTTTGATTACTCCGTACACGATCCCTTTGGCTTATCTACTTTTATATCTGGTTTTATTAATTATTTCTAAACAACAATGGCAGCCTTGATTCATGGGGCATATAGTAGCTCAGGAAATTATTCTCACTACTTCCAAACACTAGTGGACCACTAAGGACACAAATGATAGTATTTTCAGTGGATTTAGGCGTGGGGTGACCTCAGCCAGGCACTGTAACTGCTGAAGTGTTTAGTGACTTCATCAGTAAGATGAAGTGGCAACAAAAATCCTTGAAAATAGGGAACAGAGTAAAAGAACATTTAGGTCCTTTTCAGTTTTGTGAGGTATACTTTTAACTTTCTTACCAGGAAAATATCAAGCAAAATAATGGAGGTCATTCTAATAGTGAAATAAGTGAGATAAAAGTATAAGAACATCTCCTACAACTGTCATCTATTTATTAGTTACTGAACACCAGCCCCTGTGCTAGCACCTTACCTCCCTTACTTTTTCATTCCTATAACACCCTACCCTCATTTTACCCACAGCGAGATATACATACATTCGCTCACCTGCAGCTTTATAGTTAGAGCTGTAGCATTCCTCCGGGGCGATCTGATTCCCTATCTAACCATGTTACTTCCTGCCTTACCTTTTGCTGGGTTCCAATTCAGACCTAGAGGCCAGTTTTCTTGCTCAGTTGCCCCTTGAGGCAGCACTTCTCAAATACAGAGCCCCGTGCTCAAACCAGTTTCCTCTCTCAGCTCCTATCAGTACTCTGGTTTGTGGAAAGCAGACACCCATGAAGATTTTCTTCACTGTTATAAGAGGGACCTTGATCACATTTCTGTTGGGTCGTCGGAAAAGTCATGACACGTTTTTGCATAGAAAAACATAGAGGAACCAGCAGTTGTCGCCACGGCTATGTTGCTGGACTTCCGTATAGCTGACCGCGGTTTGAGTCCCAGACTCAGTGGCTTAAACTCACGCCAGGTGTGTGTGCATGCATGCCCAAGATCCCAAGAGGAGAATGGAGGAGAAGGGATTGCAGCATGGCCACCTGCCCTGGGGGGTGATTTCTCACTTTCTGTCTCTCTATCTCTCTCTGTCTTTACGGCGAGTGCACAAGCCCTATAGAAAAAAACCTCTCAAAAAAAAAAAAAAAAAAGAAAAACATAGAAAAATGCATCATAACTGTTCCAAAGATCCAATAGTTTCCTTATTTTCTTTTATTTCTTTGGATTTTATTTCATTTATTTATTTCATGTGTGAGAGAGCACCCCCAACAGAGTATGGATGCTGTGATCCACCTCTGACCTGTGGCAGCCCCAGATTATGGGCTCATGCGTACCTGGCTCACTCAGGACAGTAACCAGGTTCAACCTGGATCATTCCTAGATGGGTCGGCTTCGCAGAGCCCTCACTTTTACCGCTACACCTCTGTCTGACCCCTAGACTCCTCTCTTTGTGGGCCAGCAAGGCGAAGCCCAGATCTGACACATCTAAATGTTTCCTTCTAGAACTTCTGGTAGCAAAACAGTTTACTTTCTTATATCAACCTTTGTTGTACCTATTTAGCGTTTCCGTGTTGTTACATGGTTATTGAGGAATGTGCTTTTTAAATCATTGTCTTGAATTGAGCCATCTCAATAAGACCCCTAAAACGTGACAACACTCTCAGAGCAACTTAATGATCAAGTCTTCAAAAGGCACATTTTAGTGTAGGTCTTTAATTCCTTCCAGTAGTTTTAGCAACTGCCTTTTATGGGGACTGAAATTAAGCCCTTCATATATTTAAGTTTCATGTAATGTGCAGGTCTTTATGGTTAACTTCAGTTTTAATAATCAGACCTGTCTATTAAATACTGTTTGTCTAATGAACTGCTCTGTGATACAAAGAGCTTGCTTGGATCTGTCTCCCAGCTAGGATGCAGTTTCAAGCCTGGAGTCGAGGTTCCTCTATTATTTACCTCAGTGGCAATGATGCCTTAATCTGAAAGCATTTGGAACTTAATGGGGCTCTTTAATGTCTTAGAGAACCAGAAAGTGGTCTGAAGTGGGCCTTTCCTCTGAGAGACAGGATCACCACCTGTGGGTTCTTCTTTCCCATGCCTATACACGTGGGGTTAAAGTCTTTTTTCTTCCTAAAATACAGAATATGTAATCCCTTTAAAAGTGAGACCATTTTGTGTTGTTAGCTTTTAAGTTAAAATAGTTTTTCTTGGTGTTTATAAAATGTGAGCCAGAGTATACCAGTTTTCATTCTCCAATTTTTCAGTGATTTTACATATTTTCGAAAATACAGCTCCAACCCCTTACCATGTTGCTTGGGCTCTCTGCCCTCTGTGTTCATCTGGCATGTGTTCCTCCTCTTGTCCTGGGCACCTGCCAGCTCAGGTATTGTTCTTATTGGACAGACATGCCTGGACGAGCCTGTGCCTTAGAGGCTCTTCCTTGCTATTTCCGGAGCCTGGGATGTGTTTTTGCATTGACACCTGCTCATCCTCGAAGGTGTGGTACAAAGAGTCTCTCCTCTGGAAGGTAGCCCCAATTTACTTTCTCCTAATCAAAAATAAATGTCCCTTCTTCACTATACATTGCTCTATTTTTGCCTTCCTCATTTTAGTCTTCTTTGTAATGTGCATTCACCTACCAGCAAATCCTTTCTGAGAGCCTACCGTGAACGAGGCATGATTCTAGGACATGGACAGAGTCGCTAATAATACTGACAAGGTCAGTTTACAAGCCAGTTGGAAGAGAGAAGCAGTCAACAGATAACTTAAAAGTAAACCCAGGAAGTGAAAATGAAATGAAATATAATGTCTTGGGGCAGTGCTTGATGGAGACTTCTTAATTGGAGAGTTGAAGGAGATGTTTGCTTTAAGACTTGCATGGAGAGAAGATGACACATGTAACACAGAAAGGGGAGAATGGAGGTATTCCAGGCAGAGTGAAAGCAAGTGCAGTGGCTTCAAAACGAGCAACGGAAAGAGGTGCAGAGTGGATGGAGTGCAATGAGCAAGGAGAAGAGCTCTGTAGGATAGTCCAGAGCCAGCTAGTGTCAGGCCACAGGGGCCACTGTTTTCTGAGCATTCAGAAGTCGCCAGAAGGCTGCTAGCAGGAGAGGAATCGGATGTGCTTACCACAAAATTATGATGCATGTCTTTGGACAGTGTGGCATAGAAGAAAAGGTCATTTAACAGCTATTAGGTTGTCGGGAAAGTCATGTATTTGCCTATGCAAAAATACATCATGACTTTCCAGCAACCCAATGTTTTCTTAATGCAAGTAGAAGACAATGGTGGCTTCAATCTGGGTATTGGCTTTAGAGATAGAGTAAGGTGCAATCAAGGTACCAAAGGTGATTCTAGGTTTCAGGTTTAAACTACTAGGGCATGTGCCTTACCATTTCCTAAAGTGGGGAAGCCAGGTCAGGCTTGGGCTGGTAGTTGGGTAAGAATTCAGCTTGTGTGTGTGTCTCTGATACGAGATTGCAAGTGTCTGTTTGTTTGTTTGTTTTTGTTTTTAAGGTCAGGGTCTTGTTTTACTCATTTCTTTTTTTTAGAGTGTCAGTTACATAACATGCTTCATAAAAATTGACCTAACAAATTAGGAATGAAATTTTAGTAAGATTCCTGGTTTCTTTTGGGAAACCCTTTAATTTTCTGGGCCTAGGTATCCGAAGTATGGAATACTTGGAACATGTTTATTATGTAGAGGAATGCATTTTGAAGTAGAGGTCAAGACCTAGATACCACTGCAGTTAGTAGAGTCATCTGAAGGTCATGTTCAAGATTTCTAGACAAAGGTGGAGGACCTCCTGATGAAATGGAGAATTAGGCCAAGTCAATCAGAGAATTCAGGTGAGAAACAACCTGTTTTTGATTGAATTACCACTGGACCACGAGATAGTTCTCAGTGAGTCTGATAGTACCATTATTTATCCTGCCTATCTGGCCTCAGTTATCAGCCACGATTTGTCCCTGCTACCCCAGCAATGCTCATTGGTACAATCTCAAATAAAAAATTACTTAATACTTCATCAAACCTCCTTTCTCCCTGGCTTCCAGCCCCCGTCATCTTGCCACCTGCTGCAGAGAATGATTGCTCATGAATTAAAACATAATTGGAGAAAAATTGCCTACTCTGATTTATGGGAAGCAGGCACCTTGTTGTGAAGTTGTCTGCTCTAGCAACTTGGCAAAACGAGGGAGAATTAAAGCTATAGTCATGCTGTTTATACTGTTTTCGATGTTATGGGCATAAATACCCTCAGCCTAAATTAAGCACTATGTGATAAACTGGAAGAACATTGAAAGAAATATGCTTAATACTTGGTCCCTCACTAAATAGTTGCTTAAATCTAGATAGTAAGCTGCTTAGACAGAAGAGTGTGCTAGTTTATCAAGATGGACCAAGTTGTTTCAGCAGGTCAGAGTGTATTTATTGAAGGTTTGCTGCATGTGCAAAGTTTGTAAGTGTCGGATGCAGTCCCCGCAGGAATGGGAATGTATTTTAGAATGAAGGCGAAGCCATGGATGGTTCAGGGCAAAGAGCTGTTAACCATCCCCCCCGCCCCCCCCCCCGGCCCCTGATTAATTAATTATTTAATTTTATTTGTCATTGTTTATTATTTTTTAAATTTTGACCAGAGAGAGAGAGAAAGGGAAAGTGAGAAAACAAGCCACCAGGTGTAGGACTCAAACCACAGTC